ATTATTCCTTAAATATGATTGTTTTATTATTTTTAAAGTATGATAGTTTTATCATTCCTTAGTATTATTATTCCTAAAGAATGATAGTTTTATCATTCTAATAAACTGAATTTTAGATTAAAATATTTTGCTAAAATAATATTAAATATTTGGAAAACTTGCTGAATTAAAAAGATGATTTTATTGATATTGATTTAATATACTATTTGAGTTTATTTTTGGTATATATAGAAATATTTATATAAATAAGCTTAATTTTTTCACTTTTTAAAAAATAATTTCTACTCAAACTTTATCCTTTTTCAAATTTTCTCTTTTTATATATTACTAAAATATTAAATAAAGAAATCATTCTAAAAATAAAAAGAACTTAATTTGAATTTTAGTCAACTTTTCAAAGTAATAAACTAATTTTTTTTAATTTTTATAATAGAAATATGCTTTTAACTATCAAAATCAAAAAAAAAACTTAAGTTGAATTTTAGTTAATTTTTCTTTTTATAATAGAAACATACCTTTAACTATTAAAATTAGATAAAACTCAAGTTGAATTAACTAGTTAACTTTTTAAATAATAAACTGATTTTTTTATTTCTATAATAAAAAATATAATTCAAGTAATTTGATAAAAAGGGGTAGATTTTTTATTTTTTGTTATTTTATTTATTATTTTTTACATTTTTAGATGATTTCAAAGGATTTTTGAAAGGAAAATAGATCATATTTTATTATTTTATTCTTTTTTTTTAAAAATAGCAATATTATGATAATAAATATTTAAAGGGATTTTAAGAAAAAAATAGATTATATTTTTATTATTTTATATAGTTTTTTTTGTTTTTTTTGCTTATATTTTTTAAATAAGAAATTAATCAGTGAATTTTAGTAATATGTTTGTTATATTTTTGTGAATTTATATTAGATTTTTATTATTAATAAAATATAAATTTAATAAATACAATATATTAATTTTATTTGCTTATTTGACTAAATTAATGCTGAATTGAGGTCAATTTTATAGCTAAATTAAAACTAATTTTAGGCTGATTTATAGTTGTTTAAGTTCTGAATTGATGCTAAATTAATGTCAAATTGAAACCAAAGCTGATTTATGGTTATTTAAGTTCTAAATTAATGCTGAATTAATACTGAATTGAGGTTAATTTTAGGCTAATTTATAATTGAATTTAAGTTCTGAATTAATGCTGAATGGTTATATTTGATTGGAGTTGATCAGTGTCTATCAGTGTATATTTATATTAATTGAAAAATATGATAAATCAACTATAAATAATATTAAAATCAGTCTAAAATTAGCTATCTAATTTTTAGTTGATTTGAATAGTAATAATTTAAATATAAAGCCTTTTTATCAAATTAAATATTTTCAATAAAATCAATTTCTAGACAAAATACAAATTATAGTTTTTTTTGATATTAATGTGATAAATACTAATAAATTAAAACTATAGGTAATAAATAAATCAAAGTGATCAATACCTTTTCTAAAATTAATTTAAAAAATCTCTTTATCTATTATCAAGTTAATTCTAAAATATAAATGAATTTATCATTATTTGAAAAAGTTTTTATAAAATTGATAGCTACTTTAAAGTATAAAATAAAAAAATTTTATTTTTAATTAATAATAATTTATCATATTTTAATTTAAATGCAATAAAAATTATTCAAAATAATTATAATAATAAAAAATTATTTATACTTAGTTAGATATTTTTTATAACTCTTTTACTTAATTTTTTTTTAATTTTTTTTTTAATTTTCTTTTTTATAATTTGTTTTTTTATTTTTTTTTAGATTTTCTTTGTTTCTTTTTTTCTCTTTCTTATTATTTTTTTATTTTTTTTTTCTTTTTATTTGTTTTTTATTTTTTTTTTATACTTTTTTTTGTTTCTCTTCTTTTTTTCATTTCTCTTCTCTTTTACCTTTTTCTCTTTTTTTATTTTTTTTTAACCATAAGCTTAATAAAAAAAATGTAAACAAAAAAATATTTAACTAAATAAAAAAAAAATAGTTTTTGTTTTTTTTTTATTTTTTTTATTTTTTTCCTTTTTTTATTTCTTTTTTTATTCACTTTTTTTACATTTTTTGTTTTTTTTTGATTTTATTTCTTTTGTTTTTTTTATTTTACACTTTTTTTTATTTTTTTTAATTTTTTTATTTAAGTTTTTATTTTTTTTTTAAGATTTTCAAGTTTTTTTTGTTTTTCTTTTATAATTTTTCTTTTTAATTTTTTTTATTTTTTATTTTTTAATTTGTTAATTAACTAATTTTATAAAATCAACATTGTAAGCGTTAAAATCCGTGATTTATAAATGTATGACATTTTATGAATTCAATAGCTTCAACAAGAGCTGTATCTTTCTAAACCATTTCTGCTACTTACCTTCAAGAGGATTTATTTTACAAATTATTTTATTTGTCTAAGAATCTAATTTTATTTATTCTATTTATTTCAGATTGTCTGATTTTTACTTTTCATCTTTATCTAATTCCTTATATTTCCACTTTTATCATTTTCATTTCATCTTATTTTTTCTATTGATTTCACATTATTAGACCCTCTATTTGATTGTTTTATTATTATTAGTAGAATCTAAATCTTCAGCTTTTTTTTCTTATTTATTTCTGTATTTCTTCCAAATGAGTAATAGCATGTATTTTTTTCATTATCATTCTTAATTTTCATGTATTTATTTTAATTCTATTTTTCAATCTTCCTGTAATTTTAACCTTTATTATTTCTATCCATTAATCTTTCTTGTTATCTGTTTTTCTGTTTGATTATTTTCTTGTAAACAATAAAATTTATAAATCATTAATTCTTTTATTTCCCTTTGTTCAGTTAGAATTTCCTTTGTTTTCAATTTATTAATAAGTTTTTATTTTACATTACAATAAGAAGGTTGACTTTAACATATTAAAGAGATTTTCAACACTAATTCTTGATATTAATTTTAATATATTAAAGAGGTTTTCAATGCTGTAATTATGATATAAGTATATTATTAAAAAATGTTTCTAATTATTTATAATTTCCAAATTTTATTATTTATAATTTAATAAATTTACTAAGAATTAAGATGAACCTATTATTCTTTTCTAAACACCAAATTATGCATAATAACTTTATTAATTTATTACTAAGATACATAGGGTTATATGTCGATCCTTTTTTACATTTTTTTTTAAGATGCGATAGATTCATATAAACTTTATTGAAAGATAGTAAATTATACAAAATAAAATATAAAATATAAAGGAGATCATATAAAATTACATTTCAGAGTAATTACAAAATCTCAGATTAACTAATCTATGATTAATTAGAATAAGATCCTACAAAGCATTTCTTAAAATCAATTTTCACCTAAGTAAAGAATATTTTTCAGAATTAACAAATAAAATAAAAACAAAAACAAAATTTATGTTATGTTGAAAAAAAATGATTTATGTCTAAGATGGTTCTATAAAAGAAAAGATTATGGTTATTTAATTAATTATTTGACAGGAATAGAAAATGTAAAAAGATCAAAGATCTTATCACTTTTGTGAAAATAGTAGTTATAAGATAGCTGTAATAGTATAGTAATGAACACTTCTGACTAATAAGTGATAATAATTGTAAAAAACTATAAAAATCTTTAGGGAGGTTTGTTAGTTAATCAAATAAATTATATTCAGCTGAATTATATTCGCCATCTGAATCTGAAGAAAGAACAGTATCTACTGTTTTAGTAATATAGGAGAAGTCTTTATCGACATATGTTTTAAAATATTTAAACATTTCTTTCATAAGATGTCACATCTTATGTAATATACTAAAAATAAGAGTTCTATCCTTTGTAACAAAAGAAGGATCTGAAATAGGGGTTTCAGTTAGTGGTAGAAGTTTAAATTCTAATTCATCATCAGAATCTAAGAGAATCTTCATTATTAACCAAATTGTCAGTCTTAATTCTATGATACCCTAGGTTAGGCCATTTTTTAATTTGAGTGCAGGATCTTTTAAAATAGTGTAAACTTGAACAAATTGAGCAAGATTTTTGATTAGGTGAAAGAATGAATAGTTTTTGTTTGTTGAGAATGATATTTTATTTTATAAAATAATTGAAATCATCATATGATTCAAAGCATACAAATGCATAGTTTACTTTTGATTTCTTGAATTTACTAATAGGAATATACCAATATTTTACTTTAAATGACTAAAATATAGGTTCAATATCTTGATCAGTTGTGCCAGTTAAAAGATTTGAAACTTTTACGATAAAAAAGTGATGTTTAATCAGTTCTTTATTGGGAATAATATAAGGTATTATTTGCACGTGATTATTAAGGAAGCAAAAATCCCACAGGAAGTCTAAGTCTAAAAGCTATTCTTGTTTACCAGATAAATAAACAAGTGCATTGTAATAAGAAGGTTTTTGTTTAATTATTATTTGTTGGACAATACTATATTTTGATGCTATTGTTCTAATCATATATTCTGAAGTTCTTGATGAAACATTAATAAAATGGTAAATCCTTTGTATTATTTTTGATGAGATGACTAATTTGGGTATATGTGATATAGGACTGTATTGTTGTGAATCATTCAATTTAGTATTATTTGACAAAGGGTTGTGTTGTTATAAATTTTCTGATTTAGAATCAATTGACAAGAAACTTTATTTTTATGAATTACCAAATTGAGCAAAATCTAATAGAGCAAATAATCTGTGATACAGTTGAGGTAAAACAGGATTTGTTTATCAAAATTTTCTTTTTGAGCATTATCCAAGGAGGAAGATATGAATAGAAGGAAAGATAAAGTTGAGAAGAAGGAAGAAGCAGAGCCAGTATTTGTTGAAATATTGTTGTTATCTTTGCTTTTACTTTTATTTATCCTTTGAGGTTTAAGGGAAAGACCAGGTCTTAGTTCATTTTTAATATAAAGGGAAATAACTATGGTATAGGTGGAGGAGAAAAAAACTGTGTTTTTAAAACAGTGTTATTTTATATACGTTTTATTTCATTTTGTATATTAATTTGTCTAATCAAATTATATACAAACTCTTTAAAATCCATTTCCTTATTATAAGCATTTGTGAGAGGAGTGAAAGGAGGAGTGGTGTTAGAAAACTCTTAAAAACTGACAATAGTGTTGTTATTATTGTTAGTTATTGAGAAAGAACCTTCAGGTTATTCATGTGAAAAGTACTTATTAATAAATTTTTTCATTTGTTGGTCCTTATTTTTTTGTTTTCTTTTTACATTGTTTTTGTTGTTTTTGTCTATCGGGAAAATAAAAAAATTTTAAGTATGAGTTTTTTTTTATCTCTTAATTTCTTTTTATATATTTTTTTTTTTTTTTTTAAAGTGCAATAGTTTTGCTAAATCTTTATTATAATAAGAATAAATATTTATACATTTATAGATAAATTAAAAACAAAAATAAAAACAAATCACAAGAAAAAATAAAAATCTTGTCTAAAAATTATATTTTAAAGAAGACTGACCTTGTACTTTCCCAAAATCAAATATAACCTAAGCTAAATATATCACTTTTTGAAAAAATAAATGAACAAAAGAAAAGAGGGCATGATCACTACTGCACTAAAAATTTGACCAATGTGAGCTTAACTATATTATGATAGTGATAGAATTTGATCTAAAGGTATTGAAAATAAATCGGGAGGAAAGGTTATAACCTAAGATTTTAAAATTATTTTTTTTTCTTCAATGGAAATATTCACAGAGTTTTCTAGTTTTTTTTGTATAGTGCATCTATCTGTTAAAATTTGTTGAGTTTGTTTATAGATGAGATGCATAAATGAGGAACAGGCTAAATTAGATAGTTAAACTGAATGAAATTTGCTGTGCATGAAGCAGTAGAGTTGTAAAAGAATAATTCTTTTGATGAGCGTAAAATAAGAAGTCGAATTATAAATGCAAAGCTGCTAATAAGACAATTGCTCTATTTCGATATTATTTGCATTGGTAAGAAATTTTAGGTGATCTTTGGAGTTAATTATAATGTTTTTCATTTCATAATTAATGATTGGACATATCTAAATATAATAGAAATCTTCATCAGCTGCTTTATATCAAAGACATAAAAGAGATAATAAGTAGAGTGTCAGATGTTTAATCTTCATAATTTCTAGTATAGGAAGCATTTCTAATATTCGTTAGTATTTAGCTTTTCTGATTGTTAAGATAACATAAGAGATACTCCCTGCAGTAATATTATTATTTAGTGAGAATGAAGTGGTAATCCAATGAGGATGGACAATCATGATGCTTTTTAAAAGAACTTTCAGATTACTTAAGTTTAAGATTGAAAATTCTTTATGTAGTTCTTTCATAAAATGGCATATGGAAATCAATATGTAAGAGTTATGAAATACTATAAAAGCTTTATTAGAATTAGAAGTAAGAAGTTGTAAGGCAGAAGATTAATTGCAATTTCTGGCTAGCTCGTTAACTTTGTTATTATAAAGATTATTAGAATGTGGTTTGACTTTAATCAGATATACATTCAGGTAGTGATGTATATTTTTGATGTTCCAGAGATTTGTTGTCCTAGCTATATGTCCCGACTTGTCTCACATTATATCCCAAATGTCCTATTTGTCTCATCTATATCCCATCAGTGTCTCATCAATATCTTATGATAACACTGCATCCAGATGATTATATAAAATGACATTAAATAGATAAGACCAATTTGCATAATTGTTGATTTTAAAAAATGGGCGAAAAGTAGGTGAGAGGTAAAGAGGGTTTTTAAATTTTGTAAACTGGAATATGATAACTGCTGATTCAGTATAAATTTTTACTTTACAGTGAGATAGCGCAGTGATTAGAGCTGAGAAAACTGCTATGAATTCAGGAAGCAAAGATGATAGAAAACAGTAGTAAAAGGTGTGATAAAGGAACATATTAGTGAATCAGGATGAGTTTGTAATCATGTCAGGCTCATTTTAATAGACGAGGTACTAAGGTCTCAAAGGGAACCATCTGTATAAAATTCTAAAATAGTGGAGTTAATAAATTAATGAGCAAAATTCTGTAATTGAGTATTATAAGGTGGAGAAACATATTTATCCAATAAATTAATAGGTAACCATAGGATAAAAGGTTGTGGAATAACTATAAATAAAGGGTTAAAAATTAGAAAAAATTCTAATTAGTGCGAGTTCATATAGAGCTTCAATTGAAAGAACTGTGTGAAAGACATCTACATATTTATCCTTGAATTTAATAGGAATTGAGATACAAAGACTATGAGATAGTATGATAAAACATATCCTAACTTCTGTGCATCTTTTTGATATAGAGAATAATGATCATAATTCTTAAATACTGTATAGTGACAAGAGCCTACTAATAGTAAGCAGTGTTTAATATATATAGTGTTGTTATTAAGATAAGTAAGACGACCAGTGATGAATAATTTGGTAGCAGTATCCTATCTAACAATATAGTTGTAAGTTCTAATTTTATGTTTAAGTGGTTGAGTAATATAACCATAATAATGATTATGTTTAAAACTATTCGTTGATGAAAGCATTCTATGATCATTTATTGACAGTAAATTCTCAATAGTCGTGAACTATTTAGATATCGTATATAGTCTTTTCTCAGTATTAGTAATAGTACAGAGGTTACTATATGTTAATATGTAGCTACTATAACAGTTAAATAATTGTTCAATATAAAGGACTGAGCATTGACAAAGGTTTCTGGTAAAAGTTCTATAATTAGTTAAAATGAGTTCATGGATAGTATGGGTACCACCTGCTATATTTTAGTGAAAGATAAAGAGAACATTCAAGGAGATATTTAAGTGTTTTATATTACATAAAGCAGATGGAAACCAATCATCATTTTTCTGTATTATATCGTAAGGCCAAAAGATCAAAAGGCTTTTGTGTAATCATTCTTTGATTTGTAGTTATTTGATTCTTATGAGAAATGTTAATCCTAAAAGACCAGTTTTATTGATCATTTGTAAAAGAACTAAACTGAAATATTGGAGAAGTCATTAATGCAGCGGGATGATATTGTAAAAATAATGTGAGTTAAACAGATCAGTGAAAGTAACTTGTGAAAGCTTGAATTTTCTTTTTAAAAATGCAATAAATGTAGCTATTAATATTTTGCATTGAGCTTCCGATAGGAGTGTCAGTTGAGATCTATATTTAATTCTTGAGAAGATTACTATATTATAGATATAAATTATTTGTAAATCAGTTAACCTTTTGTTTTTCATAATGGTGACAGCATTTTCAATTTCAGTATGCAGTTGTTTCATAATAAAGTTATTGTTAGATCGTAAGGATATCTATATATTTAGATATTTAATGTTATCATTTGGGTGATGAGGGATGAGTTTATAATGTTGTTAATTATGTTGGATAATAAAAGGTTGTGATTTATAAGTATTAACTAATAGTTCTGATTTTAACTAATTAACTTGGATATCATTGAAGTTAAAAAAATTATTAGCAATTGAAGTAATGTATGATAAATCCTCTCTGGATTTAACCACCCACAAAGTATCATTCATAAATGCTAAAACAGAAATATTACATTGGTGAGATGTGATTCAAGTAAAACAGATGTCAGGACGCCATTGTACGTTCATGTTGTAATCATAGGGTGAATCATTAATTCTATACAGAAGCGGATCATAATAAATGCATCACAAAAATGGTAAAATTACTTCTTTTTGATCGATCTCTGAGTGAACTAAATATATCAGTATTTCCATGTATCATGAAAACTTGGTTAAAATGAGGTATAAAAATCCTTATTATGATTCAGATAAACAAGTACAGAATTTTAAGTCATTTAAGGGCTTTGACTAATGTAAAAACATTAATACGATCATAAGCTTTAAACATATCCTGAAGGAGTACCAAATTTCTTGGTTATTAAATAAGGTATCTTATTTAACATAATTAAATATATGAATGGGTTCAAATGTCGATTTGAAAAAAAGCCTAACAAAGTTGAATTCTTTTAGTATATTATGTCTGGTAAAAAGAGAAGCCAATCAGGTATTCAGAAGTTTTGTAAAAGCTTTTCTTAGGCATTCTAACAATGTTATAGGTCTAGTATTGTTTAGATCAAATTGCCATAATTTTGGTTTTGGAATAGGATAGATATAGGCCATATTCTATCTTGATGGAATCGAGGATATCTGAAAACATTCATAAATAATATATCAAAATACTTTTTTCCTCAAGAGGCTAAGATGTTTAAGCATTTCATTAGATATATTTGAGGGGTCAGAAGTCTTATTATTCAGAAGTTAATCTATAATTTTATACTATTCGTCCGCTATCAGCATTGAAGTAAGATAATTGTAAATTGATAAATCAATTTTAGGTATAGGTTGATAGGTTAATGTCTATTTTTCTGAGATTGACTTATCTTTATGAGTTGTACCAGTTACCTGCTAAAAATGTTGAGCAACTTCCCTTTGAATATCTGTTTCATTTGTGAGTAAATCAAGTGAGGAACTTATATTATTAAGACACCTATCTAGGATGATGAGTTTTCTTTTTCTATTTAAGACAGAGTCTATCATTTTTTTCAGATCAGTTTTGTAATCGTCAATTCTGTCTTAAAGTATTTGTTGTATGCTTGAAAGTTTAAATTCATGTTCTTTAAGTTTAGCCTTCATTTGTAAATGAACTACTAATAATTATACGTCAATTAATGTTGATTTAATATAAATATTATTAGAAAAAGGCCCTATTGAGACAACACATAGAGAACAATCTTGAGCAATTTTGAGGAATTTGTCATGAAGATTCAATTATTTGAGAGAGATAAGGTTATTTTTAAAACATTTTTATGAGACTTTAGAAAATTTCTGTAGTGTTCTGATGTTACTGTATAAGGTGAATATGGTGATTGGTTGTTTGGACAGTTAATGAACTTTAGATTTGTTGACAGAAATATATTTGTTTACAGATGAGATTAATGTATCTTGAAACAAATCCCAATATTTATTCAGAGTGGATTAAGACCAAGTTATAGAGGTAGAAACATTTCTAAGAACATAACTGTTTATGGCATAATCTAATTTATCCCTGAATTGTGTCCATTTTTTTGAGTCCATCTTATTAAAATTAAAAAAAGATTTAGTAGGATAATTACAACTATTGGAATTGATTTGTAAAAAGTTAGAACAGTTAATGATGGCAATATAATGATCAGAAATTTGTGTGTTAATAGGTAGTATATCGGCATCAAGCATATTAAATATGTCATCCAAATATAATCAATTTTTGATGATGATTGATTACGATAAAAAATAATAAAATGTGATCAATTGATATTATGTAGAACAGTAAAGGAATCGAAAAGGTTATAATGATTTAATAAATTAATAAATAAAATAGTTCAGGATAAATTATCTCCAAGAAGAATAATGTGGTAATCATTTTTAATAGTATTATCAAGAAGATGTTTAATACATGTTAAGACTTGCTTAGTAATTTTTTCTTTAGATTTTTCTGAGAGAATGTATATATTAATAACAATAAGTTTTTATTTGTCAGGGAATTATAACGTTGCATAAATGATTTTATCGAGTTTAGATCTGTGTAAAAAAATGTGTTTGGAGAATTGAAAACTAAAAGATAAGCTGACTTCAAATCTACAAGACTGACTATCATAGTTTTTACTAAAAATTGTTAAAAAATTTGAGAATGATTGATTGAAAATTGAAGTATTATTGTGTTTAAAATTAGTTTCTTGTAGGGCCAGTATATCATAATGATATGTATCATAAAGTGAAAAAGGATGTTTTGTTTGGGCTCATTAAGTTCTCTAATATTGTGTGAGGCTATGGAAAATTTTTTTGTTTTGAAAGGGTGGGAAGTATTATTAGGTTCTATTAAAATATCAATAGGGACAGTGTTTATGATATATGTTATATTTATTATGAGAAGCTATCAATGCAGCGTTCTATTATTTTGTCAAATTCTTTATTCAATAGGTCAAAACTTGTGTGTCATATTGGCTGATAAGATTTTTGTTAATAAGTACTGTTTAAAAGTCTTGATAAGTTTTGAGCAGCTTATTAATTGTTGGAGTGAATTCGAAGATTCTTTGTTATTATTTTTGATATATAGCAATGAGTTGTTCATTGAATTTAGTTTATAAGTGAGCAGTATAAAGAGATGTGTCAATAAACAAAAATTTTATGTCTGCTTCAGTAGCATTATCTGAGAGTGTATTGTTAAACAATTCAGCTTCTTGAGAGGTTATAACTTTAATGTTCAGTACCTTTTCAACTACTTCAAGGTGAGATTGTGAAAATTTAAAGGCAGAACAAAGGTCACTAAGAGTATTAGAAATGGATTCAAGTTAGAATATGATGAATTTCTTAAAATCGGGGTCGTACATTAATCTACCTGCTGTTGTTCCATTTTTAATAGTTGGAGTAGGACACACTGTATTGTCAAAAATAATATTGTCATCCATTGGTTTATCCTTCCACCTTAAGACAGGTGGTTTGTTAGTAGCTTTACTGTGTTATTAGGCTTCTTAAGTAGAGGAGAGGGTGGAGGTCATTTGTTTTGAGTTTGCGAATATTTAACATTAGAGCTCAAAGAGTTAGCAGCATCAGCAAACGTAATATTATCTCTAACAGCATCACGAGATTTCTTAGATGCAGTATATTCGTTAAATTAAGCTAGTTGAAACCTTTAATACAGGTGTTGAGTATTTTTGTCTTTTAAAGTATTACGTTTCTATGACATGAAGACGCGTTATGGTATGATGAAGAGCAAATAGCACATAGTTTAGATTTCGCATCAGTCCATTTAAGTTTTTTATTGTTAAGCGTAAGTTTATCAGTTGTAATTGCAGCATCAGCTTCATCAGTATTACAAAAGTAGAAGTACGCATGTTGCAAATAATTATAGTTTGATCTTGCTCGTGAAATGATTCAAGCTGTAGCGTCTACCATCTTATCGATGTCAAGGAGGTCACGTACTGTAGTTTCTCATGGAAGATTAGTTAGTTTTTTGAGAATTTAGAATGATCTTAGATTTTTTTCTATTCTGGTCACACATTTGAATATGAACAGAGTCGTTAATAATAAGCAATCTATCAGTCGCTTAAAGAAGATCAAATTTAGCTTTATCGTCAAAGGTAATAATAGCGCGTTGCCACAAGTTTCTAGTTTTCATAGTGCAACGTACAATATTACCATAATGGAAAAAATTATTTTTAATTTGTATAATTGTAAAATTCAACGGAATCTCAGTTATTGTGATTGATTGTGCAGGTACAAATGGGTGCATTTTTTTTACAACTAGAGGTAAAAACGTGATTTTGTTCATATTAGGAATCTTCATTTTACAAAGATCATCATGTTCGTTAGAATCTAAAAGGCAAGCTTGAGAATGTTGATTAAAGGATCAGTAGGAAGCTTTTCACGTGTAACTTCAGCAAAAGAAGCATAGTTAAAATAATATTTGTCAGTGATTTCAGCGATCTTCAGTTGGGGATTAGCTCTAGAATATTTTTCAAATGGAAAATACGCGAAATATTTTTCAGCACTAAGGAGTGATGCAGTAAATGCTACTAAAGTAGTATTAATAGTATTTTCAGACGTATCAGAAGGACCATTGACGTTCATTTCATCTTTTTTGTTGTTGGTTATAGTTTAACTGTATCAGTTTCTTTAGTTTTTCCTTTATCAAGAGGCAAAGGCGTAGTATCAGATATTTAGTCAACTTCCATAGTAATAACAGGAGGTTGTACAATATTCGAGCTTTCAGCGACAGCTTCTTGTTCAGTTGTTTGAGTAGTATTCTGTCTTTTTTGTAGTGGTAGTTTTTCTTTAACTAATAACGCAGAGCAACCATGATTGTTAGATTTTTGATTTTTTTTGAGCATTTTTAGTGATTAGCAGAAAGAGTTTTTTTTTATTTTTTATTTCTGATCCCTTTTTATATAAAAATTCTATTCTATTTATATAAAAATTAATGTAAATCATTTCTGTAAATCCTGATCTCATTCCTATAGATTTCTAATCCTATTCCTGTAGTTTCTAATTCCTATTCTAATTTCTAATCTCTATTCCAATTTCTAATTCTGTAATTCTTAACTTTTCCGTCTAATATTTATATAATTTTTTCTTAGTTTCTTTATTCAGCGTTTGATTTATCCTTTTTCTTTCGGTAGGTAATTTATCCTTTTTCCTTTGGTAAGTAATTTATCTTTTTTCCTTCAGCTAATAATTTAAACATATTTTGTATCTTAATTTTTAGCTAAATATTTATCTGTTAATCTTTTATTTAGCCAAATATTTCCTTAATTTTCTTATAATGTCACGTGATATTAGTTCTATAAATTTTTAGCTTTATAACATAATAATAAATCAAATGATTATAACCTTTATAATATTCGTGATGAATTAAGAAGTAACTATTATAATAATTATAGTAAATTAAAAGGTCATAGATCTTATAATAGATTAGAAAAACATTAATCTGATATTTTTTAGTTTTAATTAAAAGCTATAATATTTATTATGTAATATTTTTAGATATATAAGAGTTACAATAGTCTTTTAGATATATTTTACATTATAAGAAATACAAATAAAAAAGTAAGAAAAGTAAATAATATATTATTAAACAATAAAATTTTATATTATAATAACATAAAATTTACATAATTATCATAAACAACTAACTAAAATACCCAGGTATAATACAAATTTTATAAAATTTGTAAAATATTATTTTAAAAAAAAAGCACTAACTTTACAATTAGCTTTTCTCTAAAATTATACAAATAATATGGTAATATTCAGAACTTATTATTGGCATAATTTTTTTCAAAATTCTATATATTACTTTTTTACAAATAGCTTGTAGTACCCTAAGTATAAGTATAAGAAGAGTATTATGCTATAGGGAGTATTTTAGTCAACTGTTTACAGTATATAATTTAATATAATTATATTATTTATTATAATATAAATAAATTAATAAATATATATTATATAATTCATAATATATATCTTATATATGTATATCTATGCAAATTTATAAATTTTTTAATTTATATAATTTATAATATATATATTTTATAATTTTATATAAATATTATTTTAGATTTTTAAAGTAAATTTATATATTAACTAGAAAATAGTAATCACTTTAGTCTAAAATATAATCAAATAAAATTATAATAAAAATCATAATTTATTAATTTATATTTAAATTTTGATTTTTTTAATATTCAATTTTTATAAAATATGTATAATATAATATTAGCAATATAAAATTTTATTAAATAATCAATATATAAAATAGAATAATATTACATTTGATATGCTTAGTATTTGATTGTTTTTCACTATATTTCAGACAATTATTTTAATTAAAGCTTTATTTTTTAATTTTTAAAAAATAAGCTAAATTATCTAATAGTAGAATTTTAAATAAATTGAATTTGTTTATAAAATATTAATATTTATTATATAAAATTATTATTAGTAAAATTATATTATAAATTTATGATTTATTATATTTTATAATTAATAATAATACTTATATTAGATTTCTTTTAAATATAAAAATTTTATTATATATTAAAATATATATTATCCTTTTATTTATTATTTTAATAAAAATCATATATACAGTAGCTGACAAAAGAAATACAACAATTTATTTTTAGTTTTAAAAGCTTATAACTTATTAACTATAAAAGCTAGAAACTTAATTTTTGATTCATTTTTATTCTTACATTTTGAAAAATATCCTATAAAAATTTATTAGCCAATTAATAATGCCAATTTTATATAATATAAAAATCTATATTAAAAATAGTACTTAATGTTTTTTGAGCTTAAAAAAACTTTTTTAAACAGGCTAACTATCATAAAACTAATATTAAATTCTGATTCACTCTACGTGATGATTTTAACAAGCTAAATTTTATCTAAATTAGACTATTTGATCAGAAAATATTGTACAGCAAAAATCAGTATTTTATTATAAAAAATAAGTTTAACTAATTTTATGCAGTAAAATATTGATCTTTGCTGCACAATATCTTCTGATTAGATATTTAATTTAGATAAAATTTAGATTATTAGAATCATCATGCAGAATCCAGTATCAGTTTTATGATAGCTAACCTGCTTAAAATGGTTTTTAAGCTCAAAATTTATTAAATACTATTTTTAATGTAGATCTTTACATTATACAAAATTAGCATTATTAATTGAATAATAAATTTTTATAGAATATTTTTAAGGAATCAGTGTCTTTAATTTAATTGATAATAACTGAGCTTCTATTGTAAGTTACATTGCAATAGCCATAAGTTTGGGTCTCAGCTGAGGTATAAAATTAGATAATTTTCATAAAAATTTTATATATAACTGAATATGTGAGCATATATACTAATATACATTTATAATTGATCAATCGATTTATTTATCGATATTAATTATACCTAAATACTAGGTTTTAAAGAACATGTAAATACAAATGAAGTTAGAAATCAATAGAAATTTGGCCTTCACTGATAGGTCTGTAATGGATACTATCTTACATCTTCAAATTCAAGAACCCTTATACAGTCAGACCTCTATATAATCATACCTTATATAGTCACATCTTTATATAAGAACCTGATTTTATGAAATGGACTTTAACTTAGTTAATTTATCCTTTATAGTTATAAATCAATTATAATCACTATTACCACATAATCTGAAATGTACATATTATATTTATTAGTAATTTGATCTTTATACAATCACTAATTTCTGATTGGTTATAAATTAATAAAATTCAATTGACTGTAAATTAATTTTTATTAATTGATTATCCTTTTTTTATATAAAAAACATCAAAAAAAAAAATTTTTTTTTTTGACGATTATTATTTTTTTTTTCTTCTTGGCTAGTTTTTATTTGCTGTTAATTTTATTTAATTTGTTAGTTTTTTTCTGTTACTTGGATTTGTTAGTTACTAAAACTTTTTTTTGATTCTTTAGAATTTTGTTGGTTACTTACCAAAACTTTCTTTTGATTCTTTAAAATTTATTGGCTACTTATCGAAACTTTCTTATTTGATTTTTGTTGTTAGAGTTTCTTGGTTACCCGTCAATACTTTTAGAATTTGTTGGCTATTTATCAAAACTTCCTCTTTGATTTTTGTTATTTTTATTAGAGTTTGTCAGTTACTTGTCAATACTTTTTTAATTTTTTATTAAACTTTTATTGGTTACTTTCCTTTATTAGTTATTATTAAGCATCTTTATTATCCTTATTATGAATCTTTCTCTATCTAAAAAATGCTATTCAGCTATCAGCGATAATCTTAAATGTCAAATTTGTGAATGATCAGATGCTAATAAACATAAAAAGCATTATGAAGTTACAGCATATTTTAATGAGAAATATCTAGATCTAAAAATTAATAGAAGTACTATATCAAAGATTTTAAAAAAAAAAGATAAGTGAAAATCTGTAGTTAGTACTGAAATTTTAAATAAAAAATTTAGGTAAGAATTTTTTTTTATAATTTTAAAACTTTATTATCACTTATAGATTTTTTTAAAAATATAGATATAGAGAAGTTAAATTTTCAATATTAGATTATGCTATAAGCTTATGGATACAACTGAAGGTGTTATATTAACTAATTTATTAATTAAAGAGAAAGCTAGAGATTTGCTTAAGCATTTAATATATAGAAAACTGATTTAATTCTTTCTAATGAATGGTTGGAGAAATTTAAGAGACGTAATAATATTTATAGACATCATAGGTATGAAGAAACAGAAAGTACTCTAATAAAATCACTTCTAGAAAAATGAATGAAACTGTGCAGAATTTTAGGCTGATATACTCTTGATCAAATATATAAAATTGACAAAACGGGTCTTTTTTATCAGATATTCCTTAACCAAACGTTTTCAACAAGTCCTATTCTCAGTTAAAAGAAAGATAAAACTAGAATAACAGTTCTTCTCAGTATTAACATGCTAGAATCTGATAAACTTACACCATGGGTTATTGATAATGCAAAATGTCTAAGAGCCTTTTCACAAACTAATTTAGAACAGCTTTCCATTCATTACTATACAAGTTCTAAGGTGTGGATGAATTCTTTTATCTTTGAAGGAGTGCTTTACTATATGGATAATTATTTTAGAATACAGAATAAGAAGTTTCTCTCTTAGTTAATAATGCACTGTCACACTTCGATCTACATTGCCATTCTTCAGATATAATAGCTAAATAAGGTAATAGTACATAAATTATTTTTTTTATTTTTAATATTTGACTAATTATAATTAATATTCTAAGATAATATGGATTCTGATTCTAATGATGATAATGATGGTCAATGTGAAAATTTTAGTAAAAACAATCAAGAGTTCCAAGATTAACACGCAGTATATTTTAATATTAAGTTAATAAAATTTTTTAAAAAATTTTACTAACTTTACTTAAAATACTTAAAAGTTTACCATAATAATAATAATAGTAGGAATAGGGATACTTCTTAGCTTAATCTAACTCATATTGAAGTGGTTTTTCTATTATCTAATACTATGAGTCATTTACAACTACTTAATACTAGAATCATTAAAAGTTTTAAAGTTCATTATAAATAAAACTATTGCTGTCATATTTTAAAGCTTTTTGAAGAAGATACAGATATAAATAAGAAGAAAGTCAATGTCAAGAAAGCTATTAATTACTTAGCAGATATATGAGAAAATGTAACTGATGAGGTGATTCTCAATTGTTAGATTAAAATTGAAATATTGTCTTCTTCAACTGAAGATAATATAGCTGATGCAACACAAATTCAATAAAATATTTTAAACTATAAAATAGCAGATACTAATAAAATAATTGA